ACTAACCAATATTTCCAGAAAATCAAATAGCCCTTCAATAACTCTACAAACGACCATCGAAACCACTAAGTGATAATTATTACATCATGCATATTTACCAATACCAATGCCCTCAACCGCAGAGATATGCATCTGAAAATTTAAGATTCTTTCACTACTGCCTACATACCACTTTACCTTCCGGTCTAACTCCTCGATCTTCCTTCCCGGGATGTAGCAAGATGTCCCTCAGTTGGACACTCAAATTAATAAGTCCAATTCTCTCATCACAACCTGATCTCAGCCTATAATCCTCTGCCGCTAACCATCTCAACATTTTCGCCTGAAAAAAAGGATAAAAATTTTCCGGAAAATTCCTCTAAAATTTACCTTTTGCATATCACTTAGCTGAGAATCCTCAGCGACTCTCATAACAATTTGTTCCACAAGTTGCATGCAGTTGTACCCCTCGCGTAACACCAACACATCGCACAAATCGACCAAAGTCGACCATGCATTTTTCCCAGGACTTATATCCTTCAAACCATTCATGAGCTTAGCTGAGACCTCGAGTGGCACCGACTGAAATACAAAAAATGTAAATAGAAAAACTTCGCTCCGCTAGACTCACCCCACTAGCTTCTAAAATCTCTTCAACAGTGATTGCTTCGTCATTAGACAAACACGAAGATACCTACCAAATCGTTCAGCAGTTTTAAATATATCACTAAAATTAATTACCATTTGCAGTGTGTTGATGGCAGATCTGAGATCCCCGTTCGAAGTGCCCAGAAGCGCCTCCATAGCGCCGTTGGCCATTTTCACTCCTTCGCATTTCGCGATGTATTCCAATCGGCCTCTTTGGGATTCATCCGAAAGCTGCATAAAAAACGAAGAGAAGTTAATTATGAGTTTTGCTCAATACTACTGGTTCGAATCGGAACTTGGCACATCGAGATTGCAGTGGTTCGATGATCCTACAGAGAGAAAACGCCATACCACACCTCCCTCAACGGGCCTATCTTCCTACCTTGACACATAGTTGCAGATGATACAGAATCGAGTCACTTGTGTGTAGTTCTCGATGATTCTCCTCAGGGCCGCCTGAAATCCACTC